GGCTTTGTTTGTTTAACCTAATATATAGGTATTGTGTAGGCTGCAGTAACCATGCTGGCTCCATGCGCTGGACTAGCTGCACCCCTCCAGGGCTTGGCTGAGTCACTTGGCCTTGGCCCTGGTCAGTAAAACGGGATGGTAGTTCACTGCAGTGGCTCAGGTGATATCTCTCCCTATTTGCACAGCACCTAGTGTAACAGGGACTCTGATCAACTTTAACCATGCAGGGCTGCCCAATTAGTGCTTGCACCACCTCCCTTTGCTTCCCTCCCCTCCCTTTCTTAAATCCAGCTTTCGGATATTCCTTCTGGTTCCTTCTCCCTCAGTCCCCTCATCCTTTGCCCTTGTTTGTATTACCCCTGGAGCATCTTCTCTTACAAGGCAGGGAAAGCTTGCATCTTCCCCTCTCACTGGAAGGTGAACCAAACTTTGGGGATTTTAGGTTTATGCATGTACCCATGAAGTGCCTCACAGGGAGGGTCCCTCCATTCTGTGTGAAGGTGAGGGGTAGTGGTGGGGTAGATGAAGAAGGGATGCTCCTTCTTGACCTGGCTTCCTCTCCTTCTCATTTCTGGCTCTTTGGATGTCATAGGAAGAAAGTAATCATTGATCCCAAGCCGAGTACTTGAGACTTAGTATGACATGGTGTTTGTTGACTCTTTGGATGCAGCCCACAATTACGCATGTTCTTCATGGGGCTCCTCTGAGAGTGTGGGCCAGGAACCAGCTCTGAGCCAAGACAGCTCCTGCCTACAGCATCCTCTCCCTCGACAGCCATGGGGTCACGCGTTGGCTTCGGAATGTCCCCTCCTGACTCATGGCCAGGCAGGGGAAGGCTTGCTGGGAGTATCATTGGGATTGGACTCCTTCCCCTGCACCCTGAGCTAATTGCACAGTTGAGATGCCCTGGCCTATTGATAGCACATTTCTGGAGCTTGTAACTAGCTGTTCTGGTGTGAAGGAGACAACGTGCTGCTCTTGGCTGCTAGATAATCCTTGGGATTATCTCTGGCTGCCTGTTTTGGCCTCTGTATTTAGCTGCCCAAAAGCAAGTGCTGGCAGTGAAAGCTGGGCTGAGCTAACTGGTTATTAGGGATGAAGGGGAGACGAACAACCCGATCCATCAGGCTAACATGTAAACCCCACCATCTACACAGCTGACGTACCAACTGGTGTGCCCCTTTCACTGGACTGAGGCTCCTAGTGGGCTAGGCAAGTGCTGATGTCTGCCAGGCTGGTTTCAAAGTGGGGGTTGCATGTGCATGTTGAAGAGGTTGGGGGTGTCAGGAGAGGGACAGAGGTTTGGGATGGCAGAGGGAAGGATGCATCACTTAGAAGGCTAAACAGAGAGACCCCATCTACTCCATCATCCTAGGGGGGCTGCTGGTGGAAGTGCAGGTCTGTGGCTGAGGCAGTGCTGCACAGTCCTTGCTGAAGGGGTTAGGCTGTTCCTGTGAGAACATTTTCTATGGGTGTGCTTCCACCATTGACATGCAGGCATGGACCATGTTGTCAGCTGATGGCACCTATAACGGACTGCATGCTGTATGTTGGAGCTGATGCTGACAGTGCTGTGCATCCCAGCAAAGTTGCAGAAAATAACTGGCTGTGTTTCTTTGCTAGCAGGACTCGAGTCTTTTTTGTTTCTTTTTCCCTACACCATGTGTTAGCCTCCAACTGATTTTGCAACTAGTGCTACATAGCAGAGTGATTGTGTAATTAACAGGAACTGGTGCAGCCCTATCTTTCTGGGACTCCTGCCCTCCTCCCCACAGTGATGGAGACAGATTAACTCCCTCACCTTCTCTGCTTCCCCTGCTGCTGGGAAGAGCTCTGGGAAGCTCTCCGATCCCCTGCAGTGTGTTTCTGGGTGCTCCAGGCATCCCTGCTCCTGTAGTGGGGAGCAGTTTTGCTGTAGAGATTTACGGTGGTTCTCCTAGCTTAAACTGTGCCAAAAAATAACAGATGAATTAATTCTTTGTTTATTTTTTTCCTGTGTCCATTGTACTCCTACCCACTTCCTGATGGGACCAGGAGGTTTGTTTCAGTGAAGGGATTAGGAGCAGCAGTGGGGCTGATGCTGACCTTACTGTACTTGGATATGTGGCATGACTCAGACTGATGCACCTGGGCTTGGCAGCAAGCAAGGGAGGAGAGGGTACAGAAGGCACCTCTGTTCTGCAGGATGATGGTGTGGGGATTCTGCTGCACTGCCCTTTTTCCATGGTCCTTTAGGCCCAGCCTTTGCGCTCTTGAATAGTGGGTTTAAATTCTCCCCATGGAGATGGGGATAGCGACTCTGTCCATGTGTCAGTGCTCAGTTCCCTCCCTTCCTACAAGCTGTGAGTTTAGGAAGAGAATCCTGCTCTGCTCTCCTTTCCCTGTGGTCCTGGAGGACCCTGCTGATGCTGGGTGAAGGATGAGTTTTCTTGTCATATCTGATGTCTTTCTCAAAGATGAAAGCCAAGGAGAAGGGCAGGAAACCTTCCCCAGAGGTTGAGTAGCACAGCCAGGAGGATTTTCCAGGTGGAATTCAGTACCAAAAACATCTTTCCCTGGGAGCAATGGAGAGGTCAGCCTGCTGCCTGTTCCGATGTAGGGATGCTTCACTTCCAGTGTTTCCAAATGACAGCAGCACCTTAGACCAGCAAGAGCTAGTGTCACAACCTCTCTCTGGTCCTGGATATCATCACCCAAGCATGGGTTTTGTCAGCTCTGTTCATTGAAGGCCCCCATGTCTGAGAGGCAGTCAGTCCCGGGCTTGGGGTGAAAGTCTGCCAAGTGCTTGCAAGATGAGGAGCTCACACTGGCACCCTCAGAGAGACAAACCTGGGTGTGGAGGCAAGGCTCTCTTGCTGGGAGAATCAACAGCTTTTCCCCTTGTCTGTTTACACAGAGGATCTCGCCTCCACTAGGTAGTGGTGTGCCATTGCCTTTTCTGCTCACTACATATACCAAGCTTCTGCCTTCTTCTGGCGACAATGGCTGCATTCCTCCTTGCCCCTCCTCAGCTCCCTGCGGATTGCCCGGCATCTCTGCCTGAAATAAGAGTGCTGCTGTGATTTCGTTCAGCACCCAGTTGTTGCTGGCCCATGGGTGCCAGCTGCGTCCCTGCCTGCCAGGGCTCCTCCGTTGTGCATCCTTGGCTGTCTCAGGCCACGGGAGAAGCTGGCAGGCTTGGGCTGATTCTCTCCAAAGAGAAAACCCTGTAGGTTCATATTTCACTTCAACCCTGTGGGCAGTTGTGGTGAAGTCAATAGGGGTGCTCACATGCTTAAACCTAATTATTCCTGTAAGTACTTGCAGGGCTGGGACAGGCTCTTTGTTCAGCAAGAGACCTTTTATGGTGGATCTCATGCATCTTCTCACCAAACTGAGAAAGAAAAATTGATTAAAAAAAAAAGCAGTGTGACAGCAAGTGAGCAGCCCAGAGTGGGGCCAGCATCAATATCTGTGCCTGGTGGGTTTTGTTGTTCCTGACCACTTAGGGGATGCTTAGTAAATACCTGCAAAAAAAAAAAAAAGAAGCTGTTTTGAAATGAAGAGACAGTGGGAAGGAAGACAGGCACTTCTTCCTGACTTTTTTCCACCTTTACCACTGCTTACACAAAGCAACTTGGGAGCAGAAATCCAGGTTGGCGACTCGGAGGGCTGTAAAGCCCTGCTGGTCATTCACAGCAGAAGTCTGTGAAGGGCTCACCTCCCAACGATCCTTGGGCTCCTTCCTGAAGGTTCTTCCAGACCTTCTTGTCTGACTTTAATGCACTGCCTTGTTAATTGAGATTTCTGGGTGTATTTTATGGGCAACTTCCCTCAACTTACCAGGAGGCAAGAAGCACTCCTGCAGAAGTGATTGAAGGGAAACACGTAAATGAGATGAAGGGGACTGAAAGCAGGAAGAAGGTGAGGGTCTAAGCAGGATGATCCTGTCATAACAGCTCCCATCTCAAACACAGCCAGAGGAACATCGCCACTGACTGTAGGGAAACCCGGACACGCTATGCCATGAGCACTGTGATGTGCAAATACAAGGTAAGGCTAGAACTTTCAATGTAGGAGTCCAGGTACCTGTTGGTTTGCTATAGAGGAAGATCTTTTCCCCAAAAACCAACACACAGGGACCAGGAGATGCAGGTTGGGAAAAAAAGAAGACTGTTTGTTCTTTCTTCCTAAGACTGCTCTCATGATGAGATAGCATGAAGAACAACCCTCTTGAATGCATGGCAGATGGGCATTTTGTTTTAGCAGGCGGCAATGTTGTTAGTTGTTCATCAGACGCTCACACACTTCTTTCATCTCCTGAAATACCAGTGTTTCAAGGAGGCAAGCCACTTTTTTTTGCTCTTACCCAATTTGATGGCTGGGGAAACTGAGCCACTGAAGAGTCAGTCACTTGAGCAGGTGAGGGGCAGGTTTGAAAGTAGAAGCAAGACGCATGCTGCTTTGTCTGCCCAGGGCTGCAGCCCAGTGGCTTCCCCCAAAACCCATCTGCTACCTCCATCCCAGGAGAACACTTTTTGTCCAGTGTGGTGTTTCCCAGCACAAAGGCCATCTCGCATTAATCTGGCTCTTGGTTCACCTCCGGGCGTTCTGGGATCGTTGGGCGGTGAGCCCTTCACAGACTTCTGCTGTGAATGACCAGCAGGGCTTTACAGCCCTCCGAGTCGCCAACCTGGATTTCTGCTCCCAAGTTGCTTTGTGTAAGCAGTGGTAAAGGTGGAAAAAAAAGAAGGGGAGCCGGGGGGTATTGAAGAAGAGAGGGAGGAGGGGGCTGGAGAAGATGAAGGAGGGAGAGAAGAGAGTTAAAGCGGAGAAGGGCGCGGGAGAAGGCCCTCTCGCCCCCCTCGCTGAGGAGTGGGGAGCGCCGGTCTTTGTGCTGCGGGACCAGCTCCGCGCGGTTTTCCCGATTCTCCCGTGACACTTCCACGAGGAGGAGGAGGAGAAGGAAGAGGAGGAGGTGGAGGAGCCAAGCCGGGGGTGTGGAGCAGGGGAGGTAGCAGAAACAAAAGGAAACCAGCTGCAGAACTTCCTGAAGGCGGAGAGGGGGGACGCGGCAGCGCGCAGGCAGGCGGGCAGAGAGGCAGGCAGCTGCCTGCGGCACTGGGGAAGGGGCGGCAGCGGGACCCTGGCGCCACTCTGCTGCGGCCACCATGACCAGCGCAATCCTGAGGAGGAACTCCAGCAAGCAGGGCCTGCAGAATCTCATCAGGTGAGCGCACACCTGTCCGCGGGGACCCCGACCCGGCCCGCGGGTGGGGGGTGCCGGGTGGGAGAAAGGAAACGTGCTCCGGATCGACCGTCTTCGGGTCCCTTTAAACCGGCTGGATTTCTTCCTCACCCTGCTGCTTCAGCAGACACGATACATTGGATGGAAGGAAAATAGACACCCAAATAGATACCCTCCCTCCCCAAAAGCAGTATGAGAAAAGCAGATTTGAACTTACTGATGGCTTTTCCAGGAGCACACAACTGTGCTGTGACACTCACGTGAGCCGGCTGATTTCTCCCCCTTCTTTCTCCGCAAGGGATGTCTCAGTGTGTCTTTTTGTGTCCCCTGAGGGCTGAAGGCTTCTGCCTAGAAAAATGATTGATTTATTTATTTGGGGGTTGGAAACGTACGCTGTGCATGCTGCATGTGCATTTTCAATTCAGAGATCTGTAAAGAGCCAGATCCTCCCAGGGCTGCAAGTTGACATCTCTGTCTTCCAATTTAATTAATTGCAATAGTGCTTTGAACCTTTCCCTCGGAGTGTAGTTGCCAGGGCTGGGAGGTGGACAGTTCAGCTGGGTTATTCCCATTTGTCAGCCAGAGCTGAGCCCGGGAGGACGGCTACATTGTCTGCTGGCGCTGGGATTCCCTTCCATGTGGTCACTCTGCTCGTCCTCGAGGGCTGGAAATGTCGCTTTTCTCTGTGGGTTTCTGGGATCCTCCTCTGGCTGCTGGTGGTGTGTCATGCTGCTGGCTCTGACTGGGCAGAAGAGAGGCACTCCTTGCCTCTTTAAATTTAATTGAGCAGCTGGATGAGTGAAAATGGAATTAGGAGTGCTGGACTCCCCTCCTGTGCCTTGAGCACCTCTTGGCTCCCTTGTGGCTACTGGTGTCTGCTGGTCTCCAGCCAGAAGGTAGGAGATGTCAGGGTGGGATTTATTTGGACAGGTGTTTTCCTGTCAATTTTGCGATTTCCCTGGGGGGTAATGCAGCCTCTAAACCTCATCTCTCAGGTGAATTGCTTGCCTTGGAAAGGGAGCTGGCTTCTACAGCCATCAAGTTCCCCCTACCTTCTCCCTGGGCCCTTTCTGGACAAAGGGGAGTTGTCTGGAAAGCTCCCACTGTTTGCATGGGATGGAAAGTGGGCAGGAGGAGCCAAATCCTCTCCTGTTTGGCCAGTTGCACTCTTTCCTTGGTCTCAGCCCAGAGGGACTGGGATCTCTGTTATGTATCCCTGTTTCAGAACAGGGCTTGGTCAGGGACTCATGAGCAGTATGGAAATCTCCATGTTAGGTGTACAGCAGGTAGGGATTGGCTCAGATTTGGGGCCAGCTAGTACTGAGGAGGGCCAGGCAAATGAACTGGGGTGGGAATTGCCTGCTTACAGCTGGGTGGCAACTTATTTTGCAGGTGGGGGGTTGTGGAGGAGGTACCTATGCCTCATACACAGAAAAGGGGTGTCCAAAGAGCTGCCCTTGGCACAGCCCAAGCCAGGGGTGTTTACCTGTCCTTAATGGTGTCTCCAAGTTCCTCCTACTGTGGATATGGGACTTCTGGTGCTGCAGAGACTCACAGGGGTTTTTACTAGAGGAACTCTGGGATGACATGAGAGTGGGGTTATTACCTTTTTATCTGGCTGAGGTTTGGCTTTGTGGCTGTGTTTTTCAGTCCTACTTAACAGACAGGGAGGTGGTATGTGAAGATGTATGAGGGATTTCATCCATGGTTTACACCCAAATAACCCCATTAATGCTCGCATAAATCAACAGGAGGATAGGCAGGATCTGCTCCTTGCAAAGGACAGCCTGTGTTGTATTTTCTCCCAGCAGTTTCCCTCCTAAGCCTGGTCATGAGGCTTACTCTGTAAGACCTGCCACTTCAGGTGCAGGAACAAGCTCCTTCAGTTGTTGAACAATGGCTTGAGGCTCCTGGCTTGAAGATATATTGCTGTCAAGATTGCTTTTATCTGTCCCAAGGTGACTTACAGAGCATAGGTCCTAGGCTCTTCTGATGCACCTGAGTGCATCGGGGATCTGGAGCCCAAGAGTGAAAACGGCTGCCCAGACACACGTTTGTGAGCACTGGGGATTTTGATGTGATCCTGAGATTTACCTAGCTGCTCCTGCTGTCACCAAGATCTGGAGAACAAACTAATCAGAATGACAGGTTAGACTGCTGCAGAGCATCAGCAGGGATACCCAGGGAATTACTTTCTCTGAGCATTGCTCAGCCAAGGGCGCTGTTTGCCAGGCTGTCCTGCATCAGGGTTAAAGGATCCTGAATTGAAAGCAGTGTAAAAATCTTGGTGGTTTTGGGTTGAAGAGCAGAGTCCCAGTGTTTAGGCATCCAACCTTGTGCTTGAGATAAAATCCCAGCATTTCAGATGAAGTGGCCTATGCCCATGTGCTGAGCAGGAGTACCTGGCTGCCATCACCTGAACATCTGTCCCAGGAGCCAAATTGAAGCCATGGAATGGCTTTTCTGTGGACCATCCTGACAGGATTAGTGCAAACTGTGCTTTAAGGGTGTCAAAGGCACCACAGGCTGAAGTGCTGAGTCGGCGCTCTGGGAAACATCCTTCACCTCTTCCCAGCCTGGATAGAGGTAGGCTGGAAAAATTAGCTCTCCTTGTTCCTCGCTGGCTTTGCAGAAAGTGCAGGCAGGAGTATGTCGTTTAGGAGTATGTCGAAAGGTTGGAGGCTGAAGAGAGCTCAGGGCTATGCCCTGAGTGGCTGAGTGATTACCTGGGAAAGAATGGGCAGTATCAGGGTTATCTGCCTTCCCTCCTTTGAGGAGCGTGCCCAGGCACTCTATCAAGATATACCTGGGGAAAGATTTCTCCCTTTGTAGCAGATGAACAGCAGCAATCCCTCACATGCCCGCAAGACTTCTTTTTTGTTTTAAGACCTCTCCAAACATGAGCTGCTTAATCTTGTTATTGTGGTCTGTTTTTCCTTATCTTTCTAATGAATTCCAATAAATAAGATAGGGATCCAGCTCCTGTCATGTCGATTCATTCAGTTCGTTATCTGCTCCTGCTGGAATTTTATTCTCCCTCTATTTATCGAGTGTTTCACAGAAGAATATGGCTGTTTAATTAACCTACAAATCAGCTTCTCTGTAAATTGGCTGTGCCAATTGGATTATCGGGCCTCTTGGTTTACACTGTTCCTGCTGAGTGCTGCAGCAGCTGACTGCAGTCACATCCCCATAGCTGGGCTCTGGGTGGGGTAAGGGGGGTCAAGTGTGCTTACAGATGGATGTGTGTTAGAAGCACTACCACTCTTGTCTCAGCTGGTTTGGTTTTTATCCAGCATGTGGGTGAATCTCGGGTGACATTAGGAAGTGAGCTGTGGTCTGGTCTTGGGGATAAAGGACAGTTTTCTTGCACGCTGCTTGTATGCCTCCAGGCACAATGGGGAACCTGGTCCAGAAGAGGGGTTCCAAAGCATGGCTGCTGAGCAGGCACCATGTAAACAAGTGTCTATAATTACATGTCTCTGCAATGCTGTTGAGTCTCAAGTGCAAATAATGCTGTGGGGAAGGGGGGTTGAATCTCTAGGATGAAAAAGCTTAGGGAAGAAAATGAATTGGAAAATCGGATCGGCTGATAAACCTAATTATTTCCTCCTAGGATGTGACTTTTGCTTCTTCATCTTCCATGGAGTCATTAACATGGGAAGCTGAACCATGAGGTCTGAAATCATGCTTGCACACCGGTGTGTTTTGGCCTGCCTTACATGATGAGATGCTTTCAGACTCCAGCTGATGTCAGCACTCATGGTCCTGGTGGACCAGGCGGTTGCATGCCTCTTCTTTCTCCCTGCAATATGCTGCTGCATTGTTGAGCAATGTCCTGGTGATGCTCAGCATTAAGGGTAGCTTTAAAATTCTCCAAACTCGTTGAATTTTGGTGTATGTCATGAGTGTAATATTTAGTTTGATTGGGATCTGGGGGCTTTGCCCACCTCTGTGGGATGCCTTCCTTTCTGCTTGCATTTCCTGGAGCTTGCCCGGATGTGTCTCAGCAGGGAAGATGCTACTTCTGTCTTGACCTTCTGAATGCTGAGCTGGGAACAAGGAGCTTAGAATGCTTGGGAAGGATGCATGATGTTTTGAGTGGGGAGGGCATTTTTGCGGGGGGTGTGTGTGGTTGATGGCAGGACATGGTCTGGACACAGTTTGTTGCCTGGAAGGTAGCTACTCCCTCTGGAGGCTATTGTAGCATCTCTTTACTCCACCTCCCTTGTTTGTGGGTAGGTTTGGTGAGTGAGGAAAGCTTGCTGTGAAGAAGCAGGGCATCTCTTTAGGGGAGATGGGGAAAATGAACGTGCAAGATCGAACCAGTAGCAGAGCTGCTGGGTTGGGAAGAAGAGAGGGATGCTAGGATAGGGACAGCAGGGGACATGGGACCTTCATCTGTGCAATTCATGCTTTGCAGTGCTGCCTCAGCCTGTGATGAGGAGCCTATGGTCCCTGCAGGGTTTACCCACCGTGGTGCTCCCCTTCCCAAGTCCTCCCTATTTTGGTGCTTTTATTAGTGCTCTTTATTCCTCTGCATCCCACCACTGGGGCCATGGAAGAGTTTATGGGTGCCTTTGTGAGCCTCAGGAGTGGAGGGCAGATGGGAAGAGAGAAGTGACCAGAGCTGCTGACTGGGAGGAGTGGCCAGGAGAGCCCTTTATGCCAGACTGATCACCCAGCTCAGGCAAGGCATGCTTGGGGGCTTTCCATACCCCATTGAGGCTCAGCTTAAGTGGTGCCAGCTGCTTGCAGAGTTATGTCACTGCATTTTGCAAGCCAGGAGAGACCCGGGGCTTTGCAGCCCAGCTGAGCGTGGGGCTGGGTGGGCCAGTGCGGGGTGTGTACCCCCTGCTGTGTGCCTCGTGGGATGCTCACCCTCTGCTTTTACTTCAAGGAGGGCAGCTCATCCTTCTGCAGTTGGGGTATCTCCTCCATTCCCAGATTTTCCCAGCCCTGGGGCTTGTTTCTTCAGAAAC